AGTTGCTCCTCATCCTTAAGAGTCCCGAGATACACACTACTAAAAGGCTCAATCCTGTCCCCTCTCACTGGAGATACAAGACTTCTGAGAGCCTGTGTATCGTCATGGTGTCACCAATAAGCTAACAGTGCCTAGTTCTAAGGATAAACAACAAGAAGTCCTGTGGCACCTTATAGACTAACAGATTTATTGGAGCATAAGCTTTCATGGGCACAGTCCCACTTCATCAGATCTAAGTTCTAAGGATGTTAAGTAGCAAGTAAATGACTAATTGTGTACTCGATACAATTTGTATTGAGTACAGGATTAGTCAATAAGAGGTCACCTCAGCTCTACAGTTTAAATGTAGTAGGAGCAGGGACACAGGCAGCTCAGTTCCTACTATATTTAAACTGCAGAGCTGCAGTGGGGGTAGGTCCAGGAACCAGCACAAGCTGTGCCTCTGCAATTTAAATGTAGTAAGAGCTGCCCAGCTCTTACTATAATTAAAAGGCAGAGTCACAGTGTGGGACCTGGGCGGCTCTTAATACATTTAAAAGGCAGAGCCACATCAGCCCAGTCCTGGCTCGCGCCAGGTTCTGTGCTGCACCTCTGCCTCTCCTGGCCACCCCCCACACACCGGACACAGTGCTAAGCAGAACTGGGTTTTAAACTGGCTTCCCCCCAGCTCTGGCTCCTGCTTCCCCTCCTCCCCCCCCGCCTCTGATATAGAGGCACTAAAAGGGGAGGGGGGGAATGTGAGTAGTCGACTTGACTAGCCAATAAGCCTAGGTTTATTGGGTAATCAACTAATCTCTCAGGTAAGACAATCATCATTAGAAAGGTAATGCATGAAGTAAGTGACCATGAAAAACATTAACTCTCACCTCAGAAAAAAGTAATGCTTGTATGGAGAAGCAAACACTGAACAGCTAACCAAAGCACTGACCACACACTCTACAAAATGCACCTGCTTTCCAACTGTCAAAACTGCACAGCCTTAGGGTATTAATTAATCTTTTTTTCCCCTGTTTGCAGAAAGTAACAAGAAACTCAGACTTAGGAACTATGATGTACACATTTATCTACTCTTAGCCAACACAGCTATGTAGCTGGGATTACAACAGTCGAGACAGTAATTTCAGCAGGTTTTAATATGTGACAGCCTGCATTTCAGTAGAATTAGCTACTCATGACATATCACACAAGGGCTGTACACTCTCCTTTGCCCTGTTCACTTCCAAATCCAATATAAGGTAACATTTTTAAACCTAGTTACTAATTACTAACTTAAAATCATAGTTACCTAGCTTGTCCTCTTTCATCTACCTTTTTGCAGAAGGCTATCCTCAACAGGAAAGAAGAAAAAAAAATCTAGGTTAAACAGACAAATCTGAGGACATTAAGAGCAGAGTCCAATTCACTGTTTTTTATGCTTCTCTTGAAACTGTGTTTTGTGCCAAGATACTGTGCTAATTGCTGCTCTACAAATATCTGCCGGGGGGGAGAGGGGGAGGGGGGGAGGAAAGTTAAAAAAAGCATGTCAGACAGGGAAAGAAAATGTGAAGCTTGGTAGGGCTGATACCCTTTGGCTTTTTCACAGAAGCCATGAACTTAATGCTAATAAGCCATTACTAACCTGAAAGACTTTTTGATTTTAGCTCTGCTTACAAGATTCAAACAGATTAGCAGTACAAAAGAACAAAATGATCCATATTACTTTCTTACTTTTATTAGACAGTAACTACTTTGTCAGATCCCTTAGCTCAATTACCAGGCAAGTGACGAGCTCTACACTTCACTGTGATATGATCATCAAGTTTATAACAAGCTTAATAGGTAGCAGGTTTAAAACAAACAAAGTATTTTTTCATGCAACACACACTCAACCTGAGGAACTCCTTGCAAGAGAATACTGTGAAGACTAGGACTTCAACAAGGTTCAAAAAAGAACCATAAAAATCCATGAAGGATAAGTCCATCAATGCTTATTAGCCAGGATGAGTAGGAATGATGTTCCTAGCAACTACTTGCCAGAGGCCCAGAATGGGTGACAGTGGTGGGATCACTTGATAATTACCTGTTCTGTTCATTCCCTCTGGGGCACTGGCCTTGGCCACTGTTGGAAGACGGGATACGGGGCTAGACGGACCTTTGGTCTGACCAGTATGGCCATTCTTATAGGAAAAACTTAAACAACAAATAGTCTAGTAGCACCTTAAAGACTAACAAAACATGTAGATGGTATCATGAAGCTCATGATACCATCTACATGTTTTGTTAGTCTTTAAGGTGCTACTAGACTATTTGTTGTTTAAGTTTTTCCTATAAGAATGGCCATACTGGTCAGATTGAACATTCTTATAAGCTTCTCCTAATTCTTGAGAACAAATTTCTGTCAACAACAGTATGCTTGGCACATGTTCACTGCACTGGGCTGCAATTCTACTGCTCTTGAATATAGTGCAAGACAGATAAGGTAACTGGTCTGGTTAGGCTAAACATTTAAACTCCCATAGAAATTACGGAAAATATGTGGTACCTTACAAGCAATCCAGAGAGTGAGAAAGGAAACAGTGCAGACACAAGACATATTGAAGGCGAGCATTTGTTTTTCTAAATGCAGCTATTCTGGTTCCATTAATCCCACTGACTATATTCAACTAAATGACCTAGTTTGTGGCCACTACATTGTGAATTCCATCGTAAGCCATTATAATACCCTTTTAAAAAACCATACACCTGGCTGCTACATACCACACAAAACCTCACTGTCCCCCCATGAAACCATTAGAGTATGTTTTATTTACTCATTTGACCTGCTGACTTGTCTGATTGTTGAAGGCACATTTTCTTATTCTTTTGTATGGTAGAAGATTCCATTTCTGTAAAGGCCAATGTCAGTGATCAGATTCGCCACTTGCAACATGAGGTAAACAAGACCTTTGATAGTGTAAGTCTACTAGGGTTTGGTAAAAATCAGTATCCCACTGAAGCTGATCACCATCCTACTAATCAATGTCAGTTCTAGATCACTTATGCATATTTTAATCCAGAAGTCACTACAGAAACCAAAAAATTGTTTATAAACCTAAAATATCTGTAAGCCCTTTAATGAAGAACAGTCAATGTAACCTTGACTTTTTATATTCGAGTATTAGCTAATTATTTTTTAGACAAAGTAAGATTTGCTTTAACATAAGCAATTTTATCTTATCTAAATCAGATGGTGTTAACCGTATTTTAGTCTGAACTACCAAGGAGATCCACACCACTTCATCCAAAAGGCAGGTTTTGTTTAAAACACTACAAAAGTAAATCTCTCTCTTTTCACATTAGGAAACAAAACCAACTAAGAACAAAAAAAATTCTATTCTTATTACAAAAAAGTAAAACAAACTGGATAAATTGTGAAAGATCTAATTTTTAGCTCTTTATTTCCAATTGTCTAAACTATTCTTAACTAATTGAAACTAATTGAAAATAGTGTTGCTGTAATAAGGTGTAACACTGCCATTATGGCAATCTTACAGTGACCGTTACAGGAGACTACTTCAAAACAATTGTCAGTCTGATCCTATGGAATACTGAACACCTCAGGCTCTAGCATTTACTAACTACAGGGTAGGCAATAAAATGGCAGGTATGGGGAATTGCCCCATTGGGAGCCGTGGGAAGCTGCGCAGACTGGGACCCTGCTTCCTGCAGCTCCCATTGGTCGTGAATGGCAGGCAATCCCACAGCCAATGGGAGCTGCAAGAACCCATTCCTGTGGAGGCATAGGAGGCACAGGTAAATATAGCAGCAGTGGCCTGCCAGGGGATAACCCAGGTGAACCAGAACCCGCAAGCCAACATTTGCCCACCCCGTATCTATTTGGAAGTGCTCAGTGTCCAATTTTAAGAAACAAAAGCAGTTTTGGACATTACAGCTGCTCCCAAGTCTCCCTGCCAATTTTTGTGGTTTCAGACTCTTTAAAGGCTCATTTCTCTCCCTTGTTTACTTGCAAGAGATTCACACAATCATAGAGCTGGAAGAGACTTTGAGAAGTCATCTAGTCTTGTTTCCTGCACTCATGGCAAAACTAAGTATTATCTACTAGACCAGTAAGAGAAAAAGACTGACTATATTACTGTTTCCCCAGTACAGATTACATAGACAGCAAACAGACAGAAAGAAAAATAATAATTTGTCTTTCTACTCTCTTAAATATAGTCTTTTCTGGTGTTATTTTATTAATGTTACAAGTATTTTAAAGTAAAACTCTGACTTACTTTTTTTTTAAAAGTTAATACTAGCCAAGCCATTTTTTTCCATTAACATGACACCGCTGCCATTCCACAAGAAAAGGAGAAAATCCTTTATCACCAGAGGGAGACTTTTAAAAACTACTTTAAAATTAACCTTAGCCTGACTGAGCCACCCCGCTCCCTCTGCACATGAGTGCAAGCCCTTGGGGTCAGGTCTGGAAATTGCCAGTCAGCACTGGAAAGAAAGGTGCAGAGCCTGCTTCCACAGTCAGTGCACCAGATGAAGAAAAGAGAGAAACCATCTTAAAGGAGATTCCCAGGGGAGCCGTGTCTGGGCAGTCTCACAGAGGAAACTGCTGACAAAGACCGGGTTTAACTGGGGGACACAAACAAGGGGGGGGGGGATTACCCATTACTAATCCCTGTGCCCTCTCTCTTCCCCCTCTGGCAGTTTCTTCCTTGCACCCTCGCCCCTTTCCCCCTCCCCAGCTATCCCCCCTCATCTCCTTACCTCCCATTCTCATTTCTAGCATCCCCCACCCCTACTTCCCTTCATCTACCCCTCCTCCTCCTTGCTCCCCCCCATTCCTGACTCCTCCCACCCCTTTTCCTCCCCTCCCC